CACCAATGCTTTTATAGTTACAGTACATTTTCTGTGCCTATGGCTCAAAAGGATTCGTGATGATGTAGGAATCAGTGCCCAAAGTCAAGCAAGAGCCGAGATGACAATGTTCATTTTCGAGGTAAAGAAGCTGTCTTCTCTTTCTATGTTTTAAGCTTATTAAATATCAATATCTACTTGGGGTTTCGTAAATTAAGCCTTGCCTGAAATTGAACTAATAACTTTATCAAGTGAGTTTTGTCGTTATTGATACCTTTTTTTTTTTTTTTTTTTTTACCTTTCACTCCGTCGGCCATGATTTGGATATCAGTCCCGTCTTAGACGACAAGCAATGCTTGTCTTTCCACCGCCTTTTCCTTATGTTCTTCTTTCCTTCAATGCGTTATTTCGGTAAAGAATCGAATTACATCGGAGGTAAGACATACGTGGTATTTACAGTTGTTAGATTTGAGTGAGCAAAATAGATTGATTGGATTGATAGTACAAGGAAGAAAAAGTTGAGTGAAATAATTGCAAAGGACAGAGAATGCTGAGAGTGTAAAAAAAAAAGAAGAGGAGGAGGATGTCTGATTCAAAGGGAGGATTAGAGATAGCTTCTTTTTTTTTTTTTTTTTTTAAAGGGTGTTTTCTTATATTTTCTTCCTTATCTTTTTTACCCTGCAGACGCGAAGCTTATTTAATAAGGTTGTCGGAAAAAGTACTTCGGGGAAGTGGGACATTGACAGCTTGGTAGAAAATTAAGGTATGTGAATAAAATTAGCTTTAAGGGTGGCAAAGAAAAGTGTTGAAAAAGGAAAGGAAAGAAATCAGATTTGCCGAGAGAATGGGATGAAAGAGAAGGAAAAAGAAAGGAAGAACGGAATAATGAAAGGGAGACGGAAAAAACAAAGAGAAAGAGAGAATCGGGAATTATAAAGAAAGAAATAAAGTCAAAATAAAAGACAAGAGAAAATATGCAAAGAAAGAAAGAAAGAAAGAAAGAAAGAAAGAAAGAAAGAAAGAATGAGAGGGGAGTGAAAATTGGCGATAAATAGGAAAGAAAGAGAAAAGTAAGAATAGAGATATTAAAAGGATGAAAGGAACAAGAGAAAGATAATTAAAAGAAAAATATGGAAATGAAGTGGGAAAAATAAAAAGTGTGAAGGAAAAAGGACGGAAAACGAAGGAGAAAAAAAGAAAAATATAAAGAAAAGAAAAAAAGAAAGAAAGAAAGAAGAAAGAAAATAAAGAAAATAATATACGAAAATAAAAGTGATTAAAATAAAAGAAATAAAGAAAGAAGTGAAAGGGAAAAGAGAGAAAGACAAAGAGAAAAAATAACATAAATGCAAAAGAAGAAAAAAAAAAGAAAGAAAGAAAGAAACAATAAGAGGAAAGGGGAAAGAATCAACTAAAAAAGAAAGAAAGAGAAAAATAAATACAGAGACGTAAATGAAGGAAAAATAGAAAGAATATGAAAGTGAGAAAATTAAAAGAAAGAAAAAAGAATTGCAGGCGGAAAGAGGCCAAAGAAAAGAGAAAAAAAGAAATGTAAAAAAACAAAGAGAAAGAACGTAAAGGAAATAGGAAAAACGCCCGCGAAAGAAAGAAAGAAAGAAAGAAAGAAAGAAAGAAAGAGAAAGACTAGAAGAGAAAAGGGAATGAGAGAAAACAAAAGGAGTTGAAAATGCGCAAATACAATAAAACAATGGGAAGATGTTAAAAGGGGTCGAAGGAGACAGAATAAAAATGGCGAAAGGAATAAAAACAAGAATTAAGAAAGAAGAAGGAAAACTAAAATCATGAAATAAAAAGGAAAAGAAAAAAAAATTGAATGAAAAAAAAGGAAGAATGTGTTACCTAAAGTAAAATAAACAAATATACAAGGGAGGACAAACACTGAGAAGCCAAACAGTTTTTTTTTAAATTAACTAGAGCAAAAGTGCTAGATAGATATTAATATACTGAGATAGATAGATAGATAGATAGATAGATAGATAGATAGATAGATAGATAAAAAAAAAATCGACTGAGATAGATACGAACAAACTGAGATTGATAGTTTGATAGTTACGAACAAAGTGATATATATATATATATATATATATATATATATATATATATATATATATACAGAAAAGAGAGAAAGAGAGAGACGAACGGTGAAATTAGTATAAGCAGGTTTTTTATATATATATATATATATATATATATATATATATATATATATATATATATATATATATCATGTCTTTGTACGTCTATATATATGTGTGAGAGAGAGAGAGTGTGCATGACAATCTGTTTAGATACGAACAAATTGAAAAATATATATATATGTATATACACACACACATATATATATATACGTAGAGAGAGAGTGACAGTAAGAGAGAGAGAGATGAAAAGTGACATTAGTATATAAGTAGGTTTATATATATATGTGTGTGTGTGTGTGTGCGTATAACAGTATGTTTAGATAGCTAGATAGATAGATATGAAGAGATTGAGATAGATACATAGATAGATATGAACAGATTGAGATAAAGAGGGAGACAGACAGACAGTCAGACAGACAGAGACATGACAGAGAGAATGAAAGACAACGGTGGAAACTAGATGCGAAATGTGCTTATGAACGATAATTGAAATTGATAAAGAAATATCCCAGTATAATAAACCGCTCATTCTTCCATTTCTCTCTGCGCAACAAGCAACATCAACGTCTCTAAGACAATATATATATATATATATATATATATATATATATATATATATATATATATATATATATATCGGTCTAAAACAATTACATCAGAAACAAAAACCGAGGCTTACATAAAACCAAAAAACAACAAAACAAAAAACAAACAAACGAAAACTAAAAAAAAGGAGAAAGTAAAACTGTTTCCTGGATGAGGGGGGGGCGAGTATAAGGCCGAAACAAACTAATCATGTAAAAGAAATGCCCCCAAATATCTACCAGCCTCATCCCAGGCAGCCCTCCCTTCTCCTCCACCAGACTTGCCGTATGACTGGTTGTTCTTGCTAACGTGAATGAACACGTGACCGGAAGGGGGAAAAAATCCATTTTCATCCACTAATTTTGTTCGGTTCAAAAGAAGGCGAAATATCCAATCATTTTAGACAATTGTTTCATGTAACTCTGAAGGTGAAGGTTTTTGAGTGAAGACCTTCAAAGCAAAATGATGTACACAAACCAATATAGCCCCCCCCTCTCTGTCTCTCTGTCTCTCTCGCAACATCAATCTTTATATGCTATTCTGTTCATCTATGTTAGTCTGTTCATCTATCTATCTATCTATCTATCTATCTATCTATCTATCTATCTATCTATCTATCTCAGTCTGTTCATCTATCTATGTAAGTCTGATCATCTATCTATCTATCTATTTATCTATCTATCTATCTATGTCAGCCTGTTCATATCAATCTACCGCCTTTCTATCTATCTGTATAGATACAGTCGGTTCATATCTATCTATCTATCTATCTATCTATCTATCTATCTATCTATCTATCTATCTATCTATCTATCTTAGCCTGTTTATATCTATCTGTCTCTCTATCTATAAAATAAATGCCAGTGCGCTACTAACTCATACTTATTCAATTAAAGGGACACAACTCTCTAACTTTCAATAGCTCATGTTACACATTTTTTTTTTATTACTGCAATTATTTTCGCCGATTTTTTACGCGATTTTTACGACGAAATTTTTCGAATGATAACAATTTTTAGAACTTGGAAATAAATTTGTGAATAATCAAAATTAATTAAGAAATACAGCGAAAGTCACCCATGAAATAAAAATAATGGTTTGTACAGAAAGTAAGGACCTACGAAAATCAAATTGTCTTTAAATTAAGTGGAAGAATTATCGTTGAACTTTTAAAAGGTAAGCTTAAATATTAATGCAATACTTCAATGCAGCGATCAATTTTGAGTTCTTTTGTAGTTTATTGTTGACTATCGTATATGGCAGCAGTCTGCCTTACAAAAGGAAATCTCTACCAACAGAGGACCAGATTTTAATCAAAAGACCCAAGGCTGCAGCGAGGAAAAGAAAACCCAGATTAAATGGCAACCAACAGTGCTTCTAATGCTGAGAATATGTGAAGACTTAGGGACTTTCAAACTCTTGAACAAGCCGATGGCTTAATCAAGAGCCCTCCGCAGCAGCTCGCTTAATTGATGCCTGGTTGGGCGTCTTTTAAGCTTATCTATCTATCTATCTATCTATCTATCTATCTATCTATCTATCTCAGTCTGCTTCCATCCATATATTTAGCTATCCACACACAGAGACACACACACATAAACAGTACGTTACTCAAATATATACTCACGTGTATGGTTTAGGCAAAAAGGTTCGCTGTTTGACCAAAAAAATTAATAAAAACTTTGTTGCTTCGTCATTTGCGTCAATATTATGAAGGGTTACACAGAATTTAAGTTTCTGATTGCGTGCTGTGGATCTGATTTAGTAAATATATTAGAGTGTGCAGACTACTAAAACTTTTCATCTACTAAATGGATTATATTAAGTCCATGGCACTTTAAGAGATAAATACATATAACGAGAAAGTTTCGTGGATTTATAACTTTTCAAAATTCAAACAAAATTCTCACTTGATTGATTTGAACAAGAACTCTAGTGTCGCGATATCGCTCACTCCAAAACATATATTTAACTGTCAATAAATAGCATAATTTATTTATAAATAAAAAAACATCTTTCGCCCAACACATATTTCGTCTTTGTGTTTGCCTATATAGGGAAAAAAATTGCGCCCTGAAGATGATAATTTGAAATAGTTGAAAGTACTTGGCATGTGCCTTCCATCTGACGACAACTCGAATATAAGGATCTTATTCAAGGAATTGATAGATGATGTCTCAATATTAAATAATTTAGAGAAATTTGGTTTACTTATTTTTAATAGGATCCTCTTCTAACTACGGACAATTTTCTTAATATCCTTATTAAAGGAAGAAAGAAAATTACCATGTTGATGCATATTCATTTTTATTCCGAGTACTTTCGACATTAGCGCAATGTCATCAACAGGGTCTTGTTTTTTTCTAAAACAAAAAATTGTTGTTACATCTACGACAGATTGCCTGTCCATATTCGCAGTTTAGGAAAATTCTTGTTACAAATACATCTATAACTTTTCTTGAAAATAATAAACATAAATTAAAAATTCTTGAAGATATCTACATTAAAATATTAAAAAATTGAAACCAACTCTTAATAAAATTAATTATGAATACTGTACAAAATATTTGAAAACGTTTACAGTAGATATTAGGTTGGTGCAAAAATAATGTCGTTTTTTGACCTTAAGTTGAACGTCAAAAAATGAGATTATTTTTGCACCAACCTAATAGTTTAAATAGACAGGTTTTAACTAATAGTTTTAAATAGTTTATTCTTTTTTTTAAAAGTAATTAGACATTATAATAACTTCGTTACCTCACTTAACGTTTGCATTTGAGACTACATAATTTTAGTGTTTTTCACCTCACACGTACAGAATTGAATTTTCAGATGGAGACAATTTTGGATTAGAAAAAAGATGAACACAATAAGTTTTTGGTCTTAGAAAAAGGAACACCCTGATGATGACATTGTGCTTATCTCGAAAGTACTCGGAATAAAATAAACATGCATCAGCATGGTGATTTTCTTTCTTCGTTTAATAAGGATACTAAGAATCTCGTCCGTAATTATGAAAGGATCCTATTAAAAATAAGTAGATAAAATCTGGCTAAATTATATAATGAGATATGTCTTAACGAAAACGTGCTGGCAAAATATACGCAACACACACACACACACACACATATATATATATATAGAGAGAGAGATATGTATATATATACACACACACATATATATATATGTATGCATGAGTGTTGTGTGTTTAATAGTTAAAATTTTATATTTTTAGAGGGGGGTATGCTCTTTCAGTTATTGTGCGGTTATTTAAAAATAAATACGCTTAAATTCACCCTCATACCTGCTGTGCACCAACGGGTTAGTGGTAGAATCTCCGACTGACGCCAATCTAGTCGGGTTTCGATCCTATCTAGAGGCAACAGGACGTCTAGTTACACTGATAAGCTGTGATACAGCGAAACCGAAAAAATATATAGATATAAATGTCTAAAGGTTCTGGAGGCAATTTACATCGGGTCCCTTAAGCCTAATTTGTGTTAACAACGTGAGTGTTTGTTAGGGCTCGCTGTCATTTGTCTCTAATGCCTTTTGATATTTTTTCTCCTCCCACAACTTCCTTTTATTGTACATTTTTCTGTGTTAATTTTAAATAAAATCTCCCGTTGAAGTCTGAAGAGCGGGAGCGAAACCGGTTGCTTCGCCCGTTTTTAATATGTCTCGTAATATTAAGTTTTATACTTTTATTTCGATCATTAAATTTTGTACCTACAAAATATCTTTATATATATATATATATATATATATATATATATATATATATATATATATATATATATATATATATATATATATATATATATATTAGTCAAAGCTCAAATATGGATCGACATCAATATGTTTCAAAGATAAGTAACACATAGGAAACTCTTATCAATCTAACATGTTTCACTTTTATTAAAGTTTCGTCAGAATTTGAAAGAAAACGGGCAAATAAACAAAACTTTTATGCCAGGAAAGACGTCACGTGATCTAAAACCTCGCATCTACAAACAAAAGAGAAGTTTACAATTGGGCACTCATTCAAACTCTTTCGTATTATACAGAAACAATGCTGACCATAAGTTTTACTAACGCCATCCTAATTAAAAAAAAGAATTTGAACCTTTAATGGGAGAATACGTTGAAAGTTTAATAATAACTTTAATAATGGTTTAATAATAACAATCAACTAATAAATATGGCATTACATCGCTGTCCTTCTTTTAATGTCTTCTTGAACAATCTTACTTACATCTCTCAAATACAAACACTTTATCTTTGTGTTATTTTTGAAGATGAATAAAATATAAGAAATTGTTATCAATTTAACGTATTTCACTTTTATTAAATCTTTTTGTACAGGAAAAATGCTGCCAAAATATACGCAACACACATACTTATGCGCGCGTGTGTGTGTATGAGCGTTCGTGAGTGTAAGCATTATTTAAAATTTGATATTTTTGGAGAGGGGTGCTCTTATTGTCTAACAAAGTGCGTTTGCAGGTGTGAACATAAAATGAACAATGGCAGTAAGTTTCACACCTCAAGTGATCATCAGACAATGTGTTTGCTCATTTCGAAAACGAACAAAAATAATGATAAAAAGTACGCAATTAAAATAAAGCTTGCTTAAATAATTTACACATGTCATATCGATTAGTTTACGTTGGGGTCCTTTCAAGTTCCTGGATTCATTTCTTGATAGTCTTAGAAAATTGATTAAGAAAAATACCAAACATTTCTTTCAAATAGTTTTTTTTTTATTTTATAAGTT